ATTTCTTAGAGGTAGAACGGTACAGATAGATATAAATATAGACAGGTGGATGGATAGACAGAAAGCCACCGTACTGAGGTATGATTCACATGTAAGAAGTTGTACATATTTAAAGCATGTACTTGATGAGTTTAGGAATAAGTTTACACCCAAGAAACCATCACTACCATCGGGGGCCATAGAAATATCTGTCACCTCCCCAAATTTCATCCAACCTCCTATATACTTTTAATAGATCTCAATAATAGAACTCAAAAGGGGATAAGTGGAGTTAAAATAGTCTAAGATTTGTATATCTTCCTAGAGGAAAGTAGAGGTATTAATAATACTAGAATTAATAAGTCAAGAACTCATACTGTAATTTTTAGGGTAGTGCTAAAAGAGTAGGAAAAGAACGTACAAGTTTGCAACTGATGTAAAAACAAAATACATCAATTCAAATGAAGATGAGAAAAGACAGAATAAATGTAGACTAGATAGACTAAATAAAAAGTACATAAGATAGTAGATTTAAGGCCAAATATATGACTACTGATAGTAAATGTACATGATCTAAATCAGAGCTTTCCAAAAGAAAACTCACAAACCAAATATATCATTGAAAATCAAAACTCTCCTAGCAGCCACTTTACCAAAAGTAAAAGGGAGCAGGTAGAATTAAGTTTTAGATAATAATTTCATTTAATTAAATATTTCCAAAATATGATTTCAACATATATTCAATATTAGAAATTATTGAGAGAGTTTCCATTCTCTTCCTCAATAACTCTTCAGGATCTGGCGTGATTCACATTCACACACACTTTAATGCGGACCAGCCGCACCTCGAGTGCGCGGTAGATACACGTGGCTAGTGGCCACCATACGGGACGTGCAGGTCTAAATGTCCAATGACAATCATTGAACTAGATTCAAATAAGCATGCACATATACACGTTTTCAAAAATAAAGTGAACAAATATCTAAAATATAATGAAACAGAAAAGCTGAAAGTAAAATTACAGAGAAAGACAAACCATGAGAAAAGTACAGTAGTCCCCTCCCTCCTATCTGCAGTTTTGCCATCCCTGGTTTCAGTTACCTGTAGTCAACCACAGTCAAAAAATATTAAATAGGAAATTCCAAAAATAAACAATTCTTAAGTTTTAAATTACACACCATTCTGAGTAGCATAATGACATCTCACACCATTCCGCTCTGTCCCTCCCAGGATGTGAATTATCCCTTTGTCCAGCTATCCACACTCTACACACCACCCACCCAGAAGATGAACAAAATCAACAGGCCTATTGCTAGATTAACCAGAAACAGAAAAGAAAGGACCCTAACAAGCTCAATCAGAAATGAAAAAGGAGATAGTACAACTGATACCATGGAGATACAAAATATCATCTCTAAATACTATAAAAATTTCTATCAACATAAACTTGAAAATATTGAGGAAATGAATGAATTCTTGAAAACCACCCACGCTAGGCTCAATCAGGAAGAAGCAGAAGTCTTGAACAGACCAATACGAAGTAACAAAATTGAAGCAGCAACAAAAAATCTCCCAAAAAAAGATCCCAGATCAGATGCATTCACAGCCAAATTTTACCAGACCTATGAAAAAGAACTGGTACCTATACTGCAGCAATTATTTCATAACCTAGAGAAGGAAGGAATCCTTCTCAAATCAATCTACAAAGCCAATATCACCTTGATACCAAAGCCAGGAAAGGACACAACAAAAAAAGAAAACTACAGGCCAATATCCCTTATGAATATACATGAAAAAATTCTCAAGAAAATCCTAGTAAACTGAATTCAGCTGCACATAAAAAAAAAAAAATCCACCATGATCAAGTGGGGTTCATCCCAGAGATGCGAGGACAGTTCAACATACACAAATCTATAAATGCGATTCACCACATAAACGGAAGCAAAAACAAAGACCATATGATCCTCTTGATAGATGCGGAAAAAACATTTCACAGAATTCAGCACTTTTTTATGATAAGAACTCTTAACTAAGTAGGCCTAGATGGAAAACACCTCAATATTATAAAAGCCATATACGACAAACCCACAGCCAACATCATACTGAACAAGGAAAAATTGAAAATCATTGCCACTTATAACTGAAACCAGACAACATTGCCCATTGTCACCACTTCTGTTCAACATAGTGCAGGAAGTCCTAGCCACAGCAATCAGGCAAGAGAAGAAAATCAGGGTATCCAAATGGGAGACACCTAGAGACCCAGCCAGAAAGCAGGTGTCCCCGGGTTCTGACCCGGACCAAGACCTAGAGATCTCTTCCAAAGCCAGCGTCTCTGGGTCTGGGTGAAGGCTGGGAGGGCTGGTTAGGCGGTGTCTCCCTAGGGCACCATCCCGAGCGTGGTAGCCCTGGTACCAGGTTTTTCATCCTAGACCAAACCAAAAGCTACCACTCTTGGCCTCGCGCACGTGACCGCTTTCAGAGCCCATGAGACTCGCCGAGTTCCAGGTGGCGTGGAGGGAGGAGAAGGACGTCCTCGGAGCTGCGCAGACAGGAAGGAGCAGTCTCAAGACAGAGGCAGAAAAGTGAGTCCCCCTGTGGGCCACCACAACGTCAGGGTTGGAACTTGCACCTCCGGCTGAGAAAGAATTCTTGAATCAAAGATTAGGACAGATTTGAAGCACGAAGTTTATTTTACTTTCCAAGAGAGAAAAGGACACGGCACAAAAAAAAAAAAAAGTGCCGCCCCAAGGATGCTGGGAGGGAGCTTCCGCAGCTACAGCTGTGGTCGGTTTTTCCCCTGCTGGGCTGACTCCGGCCTCTCCTGGGAGCGTGGTCTGGCGGACGTGGGGGAGGGCTGCACCCTTTCTGTCTGCTCCGTGCTTTTCAAGTGTTATAAAACAAACTCCTAAAGACAACAAATTAAACCCCAGGTGCTTAAACAAAGGGGCATTGTGGGCAGTGATTTTTCCTTTTTTTTTAATGCTAGATGGCTTACTAACAATGCCGTCCTCTCAAACTGCCCCTTCTTTTCTCCTTTAAAAACCGCCTTGTAACTACTGCTCACTGGAGCCTCCGTTCAGGGCAACTTGGATCTGTGCTTCCCTGGCTGCAGCCCTCCGCGTTGGCCCAGATAGACCCTCTACTTACATTGATTTTGCCTCAGTTTCTTCCTTTAGGTTGACAGCAGCCGCTTGGGAAGGTGGAAGGTTCGTTCACCCCGGGACCCCACAGTGCCGCTCCCACACACTCACCCGGTGAAAGGAAACCTGTGCTCGATGTTCACACGCACGGAAACCAACTAAACACACACGTTTATAGCAGCTCCACTCAGAATCACCAAAACCTGGAAACAGCCCCATGTCCTTCAGGAGGGGAATGGATACACCGGTTGCTCCTCGCGAGGGGAAGTTGCTGGGCGATGCAGAGGAGTGAGCTCCGGGAGCACCATGGGGATGGTCTCAGGTGCGCTACCTGAGTGCAAGACGCCGGCCCTACGGCCGCAAGAGCAAAATTATCGGCCGGGACGGATCAGCAGCAGGCTGAGGGTGCAAGGAGAGATCTGCCACAAAGGGCACGGGCAAGATTTGGGGGCGACAAAACCGTTCCACGTCTTGATTGCAGTAGTAGCTACACAACTCTATCCTTGTCAAAACGTTCAGAACTGTGTATTAAAATGGCTGACTTTTACTGTAAATTATACTATAATAAAATAACGGTGGGGAAGGAGTATCTGTATTTGTGTGAATGAAAATAAAATCTTTAACCCTCCCCAGCTGACTGAATGGACCCCCTCTTGGCCAGGGGGACCCCAGAAATACTCTGAAGCTGAGTTGCTGCATGAGAAGGGAGGTCAGACAAGCCTTGTCACGCCCCCTCCCTTCTTGGAGATGTCCTTTGTGACTCATGAACAGGCCTGAGGCCATGCAAGACAGAGCTTGAGCCACACCTGCAGGTCCCGGCTTACACAACAAACCGATTCAGTCTGAGTATGTGGTCAGAGGCTTGTCTGTGATTAGCAGACGTCCTTATCCTAACTTAAAACATTCCAAGCCTTCAGACACAGCTTCATGTCTTTAACCAATTACAAACCAAAGAGTCTTCGAACCCACCTGTAACCACCTCCACCCCCCCACCTTGAGAAATATCCCACCTTTTCGGGCCAAACCAATATACGCTTTCCGTGTACTGATTTGTGACTTTACGTGTAATTCCTGTCACCCCAAAATGTATAAAACCAAACTGTGACCCAGCCACAGTGAGTCCACTTGCTCAAAGCTTCTTGGGCGTGGCTCTGGGCCGTGGTCCTCAAACTTGGCTCAGAATAAACCTCTTTAAATTATTTTACAGAGTTCGGCTTCTTTTCCATTGACATTTGCGAGACCAGGCAAGTTCTCCATATTAAAAAAAGGTAAGTTTCGGCCGGGCGCGGTGGCTCACGCCTGTAATCCTAGCTCTCTGGGAGGCCGAGACGGGCGGATTGTTTGAGCTCAGGAGTTCGAAACCAGCCTGAGTAAGAGCGAAACCCCGTCTCTACTGAAAATAGAAAGAAATTAATCGGACAACTAAAAATATATAGAAAAAATTAGCCGGGCATGGTGGCGCATGCCTGTAGTCCCAGCTACTAGGGAGGCTGAAGCAGAAGGATCGCTTGAGCCCAGGAGTTTGAGGTTGCTGTGAGCTAGGCTGACGCCACGGCACTCACTCTAGCCCAGGCAACACAATGAGACTCTGTCTCAAAATAAAGGTAAGTTTCAAGTAATATGTGTAGAATGATCCAATGTATACATTAAAAAATAAATATTTGTGGTGTACTTTTTAATCTAAAGGATACAGGACAACTTGCTAATATCCCTGTGGGGAATGGAATGACAGCTTTTCGTTTTTAATTTATACCTTATTATTAGTACCATTATTATCATTTAAAAAAAGAAAGCCACTTTTAAGTTAAACAAATGAACTACCCCAAAACCTAAATATTTCTTCGTCCCGTGGCCTGAACACACAGCCCAGCCCTCACCTGGAAGAGGCTCGTCTTCGTGTACATGGTGCCGTAGCCTTCCCGGTGGCTCAGGTAGAACGTGCCGGTGAAACTGGAGCCGTCCGGCCACGTGTAGGTGCCCAGGCCGTGGCGGTGGTCCCGGTAAAACTGCCCGCGGTACAGCTGTGAGACGCAGAGGTCAGAAACCCCCGGTACCTGAGAAACGCATCCCCCAATCACCCCGAAAACCCAGGAGGGCTCCCCGAGCCCCACACAGGGCAGCAAGCAATGACTGGGGGCTGTCGGGGCTGTGCTGGGCCCCACAGGGTGCCAGCCACCTGCAGCACCTAGAGGGGGTCGCCAGGCAGTCGCCCCCACAGCCACGCCCGCCCCCCACCACCCCTCAGGCCAGGGAGCTTGAGGGGTGTGAACTGCCTGGTCACCTTGAGTCAGGAAAGCATGGACCTGCCTTCTCCCTGGGGGACTCGCCGGGGCAGGGCCCACCCGGGCTTTGGCAGGGCTGATCTGGGGTAGGGGCTGAGCTGTGGGCCCTGGCTGGGAACTGTGACATCGGGACACACAGGCTGCTGGCGTTTCCCAAGCCCCGTACACGTTGGGCCGAGAGTGTCAGCCTGCCCTCTACGGAGGCCGCCAGAGGGGAAAATGTGACATTCAGGACAAGGCTTTCTAGCCCCTGGATTTGACTCCCACGTTGAGTGCCAGAGGCCACCTCCCTCCCCAGGAGCAGGCAGGCCAGGAGCACCGTGCAGCGCAGCTGCTCACATTCCACCCAGACAGAACACGATGCGGGAAGGTGACCGCGATTTCTGCAGGCTCAGAGTCCCTCCCTTGCTTCCGACAACAGAGACGCTCTTCCCTGCAGAGGCGTCGTCCCCACGTGACCCCCGTCCCCCTACACGGACCAGGCCTGGCCAACCGCAGGACCCCTCACCTGCAGCCCCAGCCTCGACTCAGGCTTGGCCCCTTCACCCATCCCCCAGCCAGACTAGCATCGTGCTGGGGCCTTTCTCCCTTCCAGAGTGTGTGACAGGCCCCCAGGGGCTGGCCGGACGGCGGAAGGTCAGCAGTCTTAGCCCCCACAACGAGGAGCTGAAAAGACGGAGGGCCTGATGGGTCATTAGAACCCCTGGATCCAGCCACACCTGAGGCCACATCACCCCCTGGACTTCTAGTTTCAAGAGCCAACAAAGGCCCTTTTCTGTTTCAGCTGCATTGAATTTGGGTCTGTTAGTTACCACCTCTCAAAATCCTGTCCAGCAAAGACACTTGGGGAGCAGACCGGCAACTGGGCTGGGAGCCACCTTGTGCCAGCATTCTTTTTTTTTTTTCTGAGACAGGGTCTCACTCTGTCACCAGGGCTAGAGTCCAGTGGCATCATCAGGCTCATGGCAACCTCAAACTCCTGGGCTCAAGCGATCCTCCTGCCTCAGCCTCCCGAGTAGCTGGGACTACAGGCATGCGCCACCATGCCCGGCTAATTTTTTTTATAGAGACGGGTCTCCATCTTGCTCAGGCTGGTCTCAAACTCCTGGCCTCAAGCAATCCTCCCGCCTCGGCCTCCCAAAGTGGGCATTCATTTAATTATATGATGCTACGCAGTTTATCAGAGAGTCTACCCAAGTAAGAGTGATCTTAAGTTGCAGATTGGGGATACAGAATTATAGGGGAACATTAAGCCCTCAACTCCTTGCATTTCCATGCATGAGAGATTTATGTGCCACTCCTGGAACGCAAGTGTCAGGGGAGTAAATCCACCCCCCTCTGCCCACTCCTCGGTCTTCCACAGGCACGCTGGAACTGACGCTGCCTCGCCCTGTGTTTCAAATAGACAGAGTGGATGAGCCCTGGGCATGGCGTGAGAGGGGCTCGTCCTTCTGGCTTTCTCTGGGTCATGAGCTGCCACAGCTGGGCAAGCATCTGCCCCATGGACCCGGGGCCCCTGCCCTGGCAGTAACCAGCTCACCCTCCACCTAGATGCTCGCCTGCTGGTCTCCCTTCCCTGGGGAGCACTGGGGTCGGGAGGGCTCGGAACCACGCGCCACGAGCCAGGGCTCTGCAGCCTTGACGTGGGCGAAGGAGAAACCAGCAGACCGGAGACACATGCTGGAGGGACAAATGCGCAGGAACCGTGGCTGTCGTGGGGATCTGTGTTCATAGATCAGCACCCACCAGGGTCCCGCTCTCCCGGCCTCTGTCCTGGTCACACGAGGCCTGGAGTCTCCCCTGAACTCGGGCAGCATTCCGGGCACGCTGGCAACATGTGGACAGTGGGTGCAGGACTGGGGTGCCTGGAAGCCCCACCTCCACCTGCAGTTGCTCCTCGACTGGGCTTGGAGGACTCCTGTCCCTCTTCTCCCCCACAGCCCCCCACCCCTCCCCAGGCTCCACCCTGAGACCCTGCCTTCCTCTGGGCACCTTCATGGCCCCACCACCCTCCATGCACCAGTGACACCCAGCACGCCTCCCCAGCCCTGGCGCTCCTGAGCCCAGCCTCACCCATCCACTGCCCCTGCACCTGCTGAATGAAATGTTCTACTGGGGTGTCTGCCTGACTCACAGCAACTGCCCTGAAAATGCCCCCACCGAAAAGAGCAGATGGCCATGCGTGTCTGCCATGGCCCTGCCCCCGGCCACAGCTGCCCGAACGGGGGTGAGCGTCTGACCAAGCTGGGCCAGCAGACACTCGTGGGACTTCAGAACTGGGCCTGAGAAATTCCAGTTCCATCTGCTTCTTGACCTGGGGGGAGCAGGTGCATGAGCGGGGGATGGGCCAGGTGTCTCCAGCCTCGGGCATCAAAGCCACAGAAGCTGGGTCTCCAGAGAGAGCAAAGTGTGGGAGAGGGATGGAGCCGGGAGCCCAGGCAGCCCCAAAGAAGCCCTGAATGGGCCCCGGTGCCAGGTGACTCTGTAACGACCCCAAATATACACCCACGCCTGGGCTGCCTCCCGAGACGGTCTCAGCTGAACCACACAATGTTCAGGGCGACACCAGGGCAGAGTCCTCCACTGCGCCCGGAGTAGCAGGGATGGGAACACATCACTGGGAGATCTTTAGAACCCAGCATCCCACGGCGAGAGGACCTAAGCCCCCCAAGACTCAGCACACATCCCAGCTTTGCTGCACGCCAGGCCACTCCACCCAGCCAAGGACGGCGGGAGCAGACAGCTCTGGCTGCAGGGTCCCGGTCCCGACGGCCATGCCCAGCAAGTCTCCACTGGGGTCCTGGGCACAGCCCAGCATGGGGTGCAAGCACATATTCTCATTTTGTCTTTGAGAACACCCTTTGCCTGTTGCTGAATCTTAAACACAAGGCAATTTCACCAACGTGAATATACTAGTTGCTACCATAATTCACAATTTTAAAACATTTTCTCAGAATAAGAATTTATCTTCTTAAGTCACAGCTTCCCAAACCTCATCCTACGGACCCGAGGCCAAACCATGGCCTGACATCTGGAGTCGGGAAGGGTGTTTTCTCTGGACATTTCTAGAGTAGCAAAGACATTAGCCTAGCACCTTCCTGTTGATGGACCCAAAAGTGCCCGTGGCATCCCGCTCTTAGAAGGAGAGACGCCAGGCACCACCGGCCGAGCCCCGCCCGAGCCCCAGGGGAGGAGGGGAAGGGAGCTACCTCGCCCGTGGGCCAAGAGAATTCGCCATATCCGAGCTTCACGTCCAGCCCGAACTCCCCCCGGTAGACGCAGCCGTCCTGCCACTCCTGCACGCCCCGGACCAGCTGGACGTAGGCCTCCTTCAGGTCCTGCTCCCTCAGAGGGCCCTCCTCCTCCTCCTCCTCCTCCTCAGGGGCTGTCGAGAGGTTCCTAGAAGGGCAGAGCAGAGGGAGAGAAGGGCAAGCGGCTGAAGCATCTTCAGAGTGTTCGAGTGCAAACCACTGTTGCGTTTCATCCTGGCAACCCGAGGGAGGTGCCGCTGTCATCCGCATCCCACAGAAAGGAACATGAGGCACAGCGGTGCGGCGACTGCCCGGGTCACACGGGACGTGGAAAGCGCAGGAAGGGAGCAAACAGATGGGGTGAATGGCTGCTGGCCCTGGAGGTGGGATCAGCGAGCCCTCTCCTGCCCAGGGCCTGCCGCCTCCACCACCTGGGCCCCAATGGCCTCTGCCCCACCCCAGCCATCTGCTGGGCACATGAGCACAGGGTAGGGTCCTCTCGCAAGAGCCAGCAGCAGCAGCCGGGCAGGAAGCAGACACTCAACACACACATGTGGACCCATGGAGGGTCCAAGAGCAGCTTGAGAGGCGGCCAGCTGGAGTAAGCTGGACAGATGGCGGATGGAGGGACACGGGGTGGGGGACGTACAGCAACAGGGAGACAGCACGGGTGAGGGTGGATTTGTCGTCACTTACAAGTGGGTCCCACCCTGCGCCCACCACACACACACACCCACCTCCCTCTCAACGGCACAGAGCCGTCTGGGGGTGCGGCACGCTGGTGTCCCTGTCTACAGGGCTGTCCTGCTGTCAGGCTGGGGGGCTGGCTAGGCAACACGTGGGCTGGGAACCCTCCACTCTGACCGCTAGCCCTCGAACACCAGGCACGAGCCACAAAGTCTAAACAAACCATCTGGTCAGCAAAGAAGGGATTCGGCTGCTAGGAACACAAAATCGGCGTGTAGCATATTGGTTCGCGAACACAGAAAGGAGCCAGGAAGGACAGCCCCCACGCGTGGCAGTGGTCAGGGCTGTGGCGTGGGTGCGGCGTGGTTGTCCTTGCACTCGCCTGCTGTTACAGGTCGAATTGTGCCCCTCATTCTTGGAGTCCTAAACCCCAGGACCTCACGGTGTGACATTATTTGGAGATGAGGTCTTTACAGAGGTAACCAAGTTAAAATGAGGTCATTAGGGCAAACCCTAATCCAGTATGACTGGTGTCCTCATAAAAAGGGAAAACTTGGACACAGATAAATGCATAGAGGGAAACAGCGTGAACGGACAGAGGAGGCGCAGCCCTAGGAGGCCAGGGGAGAGGCTTGGAACACACCCTCTCCCGGCCTCAGAAGGGACCAGCCCTGCCAAAACCTGTACCTCGGACTTCCGGCCTCCAGAACTGAGAGGACAGCTTTGCTGTTCCAGCCACCCCCAGTCTGCAGTGTTCTGTCGTGGCAGCCCTAGCAAACTGACGCGCCGAGCTACACAGGACAGGCATTACTTGTTTCATAAGAAATACATATCTCAACAACCACCAAAGACAGTCCACAGTGCGAATGAAAGAAACAGAAACTTCAATTTTTTCCCTGAAAAAAAAGTGGAACTGATTTTGAGGTCACGCAGGAAAATCTGTGAGGCCCACTGTGGGGTCACCAGAAATGGTCAGCGGGCACAGTGGGCAAAAGCCTGGCCACTCGGCTCTGCCACCTCTGGCTGTTTGGCTTAGATGGGTTCCTTACACCTTTCATGACTCAGTTTCCTCATTTGCAAAACGGGGAGGCCAGCTTGGGCCACTGTAACAAAGCACCACAGACTGGGTGGCTGAACGACATCCAGTTCTCACAGTTCTGCAGCATGGCAGTCCAAAGTCGAGGTGCAGGCAGATTAGCTTCCCGGTGAGGGCTTATGGGCAGCTGCCTTCTGGATGGTGAGAGAGGAGGGAGCTCTGTTCTCTCTTCCTCTTCTTATAAGGACACCAATCGCATCATGGGGGACCATCCTCAAGACCTCATCTAACCCTAACCACCTCCCAAGGCCCCGCCTCCAAATACTATCACATTGAGGGGCAGAGCTTCGACATGTGAATTTTGGAGGTGCACAAGCATTGAATCCACACTGGGGAAACATATAACAGGGTTCCAGGTGGATTTCATGAGTTGCTACAGGAAGCCCCTGAGGGCAGCCCCTGGCCCAAAGTGGCCCTTACTATTAACACTCACAGCTGTGAAGAAGCCATGTTGATGTGGGAAACCCCATCTTGTAAGGCAAATGTATCCTTACATCCCCTAGGCGGTGAAGGGGCTGGGCGCGGTGGCTCACGCCTGTAATCCAGCACTCTGGGAGGCCAAGGTGGGAGGACTCCTTAAGGCCGGGAGTCCAAGACCAGCCTGAGCAATAGTGAGACCCTGTCTCCACACAATAATTTAACAATGATCCAGGCATGGCGGCACACATCTGTAGACCCAGTTACCCTGGAGGCTGAGGCAGGAGGACTGCTCAAGCCCAGGAGTCTGAGGTTGCTGGGAGCTAGGCTGACGCCACTGCTCTCCAGCCTGGGCAACAGAGCGAGTCCCTGTCTCAAAAACAAACAAGAAGTTGTCTGCTAGGAGGTGAAATCGGGTGGGCAGGGCGGGCAGCGTGTGCAGGCGAGCAGGGAACATGCGAAGACCTGCGTGGATTCCAGTTAGCCATCACCGTCATTTTCCTCCGTGGTCGTAGTTATAACGTTGAGGCTTTGCTATTTCTCCAGAGGCTAGTATTTTGCGGATAAAACAACACTTAGCGATTTTTAATGCTTGCCACAAGGATGCACCCCGGCCAACTCCGGGCCCCCGGGTCATGGTCCCACCTCCCCGGGGGGCTCCGCACCTCTTGGCGACGACCGGACGGCTCCCCAGGAACCCCACGTCCACAGCAGCGGAGATCGCACTGCCCTCGCGCTCCGGCGGGCGGCGGAGGCTGCAGGCCTCTGAGACCTCGTAGTCCAAGGAGGAGCCACCGCCTTCCATATTTTGGAACCTGGAAGCCAAGTCGGACGGAACCACGCGCTCGCCCCGGGCTCCCGCCGGGACCCGCCCCGGGGAGCCAGCGCCCCTCAGTCGCGCCGGGTCCGGCCCCCGCGCCCGCCCGGCCGAGCTCAGCATCTGGGGAACCAGGTCCCGGCCCCTCCGCGGGGCGAAGCTCGGCCTGCGCTGCTGGCCGCCGAGGGCGCCACTGTCGGCGGGTCCCTCCCGGCGGGCTCGGAAGCCGGCCCTGGGGCAGCCAGACACCGACTGCGGGAGACGGGGGGTCCCCACCCGGATCACAGCCCTCCGCGGCCTGCCCGGGGACGCCCCGCGGGGCGCCAGCGTCCCGCAGCCCCAGCTCCCGCGCCCCCACCGCAGGCCGCACCGAGACCCGGAGAGCTCGCCCAGGACAGCGGCCCACGCAGCGGACCCTGCGCACTGCCGGAGAGCGTCGGGTTTCCCTAGAGACGGGCTTCGCCCCGCCTCCGCCCCGCCCCACCAATCATTGCTCCCGCCCCGCCTGGGCTCCGCCAATCCCCGTCCCGGTCCTTCCCCGGTCTGTCACCACCCCGCCCCGGGATCCGCCAATCCCCGCCTTGGCCCCGCCCCTTCCGCCCCGCCCCGCCCCAGCCCGGGCTCCGCCAGTCCTCGCCTTGGCCCCGCCCCTTCCTACCAGCTCCTCCTCTTGGCCCCGCCCCAGCTCCGCCCCCGGTCCTCCGCGTGGCCTGCTGCCTGGACTGAGGCCCGAGGCAGCCGGGCCGGGGTTCTAGGGTTCCAGGGGCGCCTCCTCCACACCGTGTTCGCGCTGCCCCAGTGCACGTCTCTCTCCTCCGGGCCCCCCGCGTCCCCCGGTGGCCACCTTGGTTCCTTGATCCCCTGGCCCGCGGCCTCTCAGACCTGCCCCTCGGGTCCCCAGGTCCCCTCGCCGCCGTTCCCTCCGAGCAAGCTGAGCTGTTCAAAATTCACAGTTAGGGAGAGAAAAGCCAAGTAAAACTTCAGAACATCCTGCAAACCCGTGAGGTCGTAGCACCTGCTGTAGGTTGAAAGGCGTCTCCTCCCTTACCTGTGAACGTGACCTTATTTGGAAACGGGGTCTTTAGCGGTCACGCTGGGTTAGGGCGGGCCTAGGTCCAGTGGCGCGTCCTTAGCAGAGGGAGGTCTGGAGACACAAACAGAAGAATACGCTGTTCTAAGCCCGCCCATTTGGTGTCGCTTTATTACAGCAGCTCTGGGAAACGAATGCACCACCAAAGCATGAATGAATTTAGAGAAAAGAAAACTGTTTGTGGCAAATTTGGCAAGTTTGACAATTTGGTAGAGAATTCTAAACATTATTAATAAAATGTGACCCCCAAAAACGTGCTTCTAGAAACTACTACAAACTGAAAAGAATTCAATATGAAATGCTTATATTCATGAAATGAATGCACTGACACATTTTAAAAATTCAGTGTACGAAGATTAAAAAGCTCTATTTCCACAAATGAATACAAATGCAGGCCAGGGGAAAAAGCTCATGCCTGTAATCCTGGCACTCTGGGAGGCCGAGGTGGGAGGATCGCTTGAGGTCAGGAGTTGGAGACCAGCCTGAGCAAGAGCAAGACCCTCAGTTACTTGGGAGGCTGAGGCAGGAGGATGGCTGGAGCCCAGGAGTTTGAGGTTGCTGTGAGCTATGATGATGTCACTGCATTCTAGCCCAGGTGACAGAGCAAGACTCTGTCTCAAAAAAAAAAGAAAAAAAAAAGAAGAAAAGAAAAACATACAAATGCCACTAAAGTATGTGTTTGAAAGGAATGTTTTCATAATGATACATTATATTCATTTAAAATATTTAAGATTATTAGTTTTAAAAGTTTTTGGTGAATTGATAAACTTGTTAAATTCAGCAAATTATTATAATAATTTAGGAAACTGATTGTCAGGATGATTGGCTCTCAGCAAATTACTGCCTGTATCTAGAGTCGTGGTGTTAGCAAATCTGAAATGCTGACTGAACCCACTGCTACTGTTATAAAATTGAATGAAATATTAGTGACGTCTGCCCGGAAAGGGGAGTGGTATTTCTATGAAAATTCAGTCGAAGGCTTTGGAAAGTCAACAAAGAAAATTCACTTAAAATTGCAATCAAGTTAGACGCCAGTGAGACACTTGTAAAAGATTGTGGGAAACGTGATTTGTTTAATTCTAAAAAGATTCCTTCCCCAGATGGCTTCGCAAGTGTGTTCAAGTTCACATAAAGGATTAAACTGACACTGGAAGATAGAGACAGGCACAGGGTGCCACTGTGAGGAGTGGAAATCAGCCGACCCCAAACCTGTCATCAAAGCAGCAAATAGACATCCTACGTACTAAGTCAAAACCCAGTGTTGGCCGGGCGCGGTGGCTCACGCCTGTAATCCTAGCTCTCTGGGAGGCCGAGGCGGGCGGATTATTTGAGCCCAGGAGTTCGAAACCAGCCTGAGCAAGAGCGAGACCCCGTCTCTACTAAAATTAGAAAGAAATCAATTGGACAATTAAAAATATATAGAAAAAATTAGCCGGGCATGGTGGCGCATGCCTGTAGTCCCAGCTACTCGGGAGGCTGAGGCAGAAGGAATGTTTGAGCCCAGGAGTTTGAGGTTGCTGTGAGCTAGGCTGACGCCACGGCACTCTAGCCAGGGCAACAGAGTGAGACTCTGTCTCAAAAAAAAAAAAAAAAAAAAACCCCAGTGTTTCCGGTGGGTGGGCAGTTTTGCGTGTGTGGCTCTCCAGCTTTGGACAGGTTTTTAGATTGACTAAACGATGGCTACAAACTTCAGCCTGTCTCAGACCCACATGGGGGGCCTGGGAAAACACAGCTGCCTGGCTCCTATCCCCGGAATTTCCTGCGTCAACCAGGCCGGGCAGGCCTGAGCATCTGCGTTGCTAGCAAGTCCCCGGATGATGCCGATGCCGCTGGAACACGGGCCACACTCTGAGAACCACGGGGCCGTGGCGTGCACGTGGGAACAGAGAGAGGGTGCTGGAGGGACAGGGCGGGACGATGCCATCAGATGCGAGCCTTCAGTCCGAGGTTTTCAAGCCTTTTTGCCTGGGACCTGCAGCAAGATCCCAGGACCAGCACAAACATAACTAGAACAAAGAGTTTCATGACAAGCTCACCCCACTACATGCCGGCACCCTAATATTTTCACGTAGTCTATTCTTTTGTATACCATTTCACTAAAAAATAAAATGCAGGTCATGACCCACAGAATTGATTTCACAGCCCACGTTAGTTGTGAATTAGCACCACTTGCTAACGGGTCAGGACTGATATTTAGAAAAGCACAGCCACCTCAGAAAGCACGTCCTGGCTACGCCGCCAGAGGCTGGACGGGAGGCTTCCCTTAGGAGGTTGGCGCCACATCCAGGAGAGAGGGGTGGCCCAACCACGCCTGGCAGGGAGGTGGAGAGATACTTACGAAGACTTGGTCACCAGTCCGTTAGCTCAGTGGGATGGGAGCATGAGGTGTCAGGAGACTCTGGAACAGAAAACCCAGCTCAGACATCCTCTGACGATAAAAGGTGACTTGCTGGCTCAGGAAACAGTCCAAAATGGGGACTTGAGGTTTGGTCTGATTCAGTGGCCCAGTAGTGGCAGCAAGTACCCAGCTTCTCCTGTCCCCTCAGCTTTCACCCAGGGCTGGCCTCCGCTTATGGCCACGAGGGAACAGAGGAGCCTTCCAGACTCCTCTCTCCTCGTGGGCTCTTAGCAGAGCCCAAGCCCTTTCCAGACACAATCATGAGGGGATGGGCTTCACTGCTGGCTGGAGGCATTAGGGTCCACTCCTAGAGCTGGGGGACAGAAGTCCCCATCTGATTGTGTAACTTGCTCCATGAACAAATTTCAGTGTCCCCGATATGTTTCTTTCTCTTTTTTTTTGAGACAGAGTCTCACTCTTTTGCCCGGGCTAGAGTGCCGTGGCGTCAGCCTAGCTCACAGTAAACTCCTGGGCTCAAGCGATCCTCCTGCCTCAGCCTCCCGAGTAGCTGGGACTACAGGCATGGGCCACAATGCCCGGCTAATTTTTTCTATATATATTTTCAGCTGTCCAATTTAGTTGTCCAGATAACTTCTTTCTATTTTTAGTAGAGATGGGGTCTCCTTCTTGCTCAGGCTGGTCTCAAACTCCTGACCTTGAGCGATCCACCCGCCTCGGCCTCCCAGAGTGCTAGGATTACAGGCGTGAGCCACCACTCCCCGCCCTGTTTCTTTATAATCCTCACCTTTAACTACTTCACCTTTTGTTTCCCAGAAATGATGGATTTTCTCCAAGACAAAGAAGCTGAGATTCTGAAGGCCCCTGAGCAGACTCTTGCTGCGAAGACCCACCATCCCCACGACCTGCCCCCAATGCACACGGCCCCTTGCTAGTTACACCACATCTGTCCCAAGGCACACAGCCCCTTGCTAGTTGCACCACAACCTGTCCCAAGGCACGTGGCCCCTCCTTTAACAGCCCCTGATCTCCATTAGTAAGGGATATGGATTTGAGGCAGCTTCTCCTGTCCTCACAAGACATCCTTCATACTAAAAATTCCTTTCTTCCTTTGCAATCTTCATCTCGATAATTGGATCTTTGTGTGACCAGCAAGTGCCCCTAGCCCGAAACCTCCTTGTGGTTTCGGTAACAACTGAATGGCTCCCAAGAACTCCGGGAAAAAAAGGAATTCCATTCCCTCTCCACCCCAGGAAAGTTGGAGTCCTTCCTTAGGCTGGAGGAAGAGGGATATGAATGTGGTGAGGCCTCCACAGAGATGACCTGGCTGCAGACAGCTATTTGAGTACTTAGCGCAGGAGTGAGCCCAGGTTACCATAAAGACATGAGTTGTGGTACCCGGGCCAGACGGCGGCAAGGATGGAGACGATCTGGACACGTAGGCAGATCGCACAGGTAGTGTGGCAGATTTAGCTAACACCAGGTTGGGGGCGGGGTGGGGATGATGAAGGCCAGTTTCTGGCAGAATGGCTGCAAACTTAAGTAAACTATGGGAATGAATAGGAAAAGTGTTTTTACTGCTATGAGAATGAAATTGAAAGTGCAGTAAAGAACCGCCTGCAGAGCTGTGAGACAGTTGCTTTTTTCACTGAACTTCTTCCCTGAAAAACAACGGACATCAGAAAGATTGACGGAAGAGGCCTTAAATGCAACTTCATGTGCACTAAATGAGAGCAAATAAATTTTAAAAAGTTACGGTGCTGACCCCAAAAGTCAGGAATTAATAAAAAGTACAAAAGGAACACCGGTCTACGAAGAAATGATGGAAAGACGACGGCAGTTTTATTTTGCATGAACCACGCTTTACGATAAATAAGAAAATAGGAAGCAGGAGCCGTAACGGAAGCACAGCGCGGTGCTCGTGAGCTAAGAACGCAGGGGGCCGGCCCGACGTCGGCGCTGACGGACCACGGGGAGGCCGCCGCGGGGACCCGCCCGCACCTCCCCACGGGAGGGGTCGCGGCGCGGGCAAGGAGGGCGCCGCGCTCGGGACCCAGAGCCAGCGAGCCGCGACCCGGCCCGGCCCGCCCCTCAGAGGAGCCAATTGCTGGCCGCGGCCGCTCGGCCTGGCCAATGGGGCGGCGGTAGGGCCCTGTGGGCGGGCCCCGCTCGGCACAAGCCGCGGCGGGGCCGGCGCCGGGGACGCCTCTAGGACCCGGGGGACCCGGGGGCGCCGACTCCCGGTGCGGCCATGGGCCCGGGGGGAGCCAGACGCCGCGGGGCCGAGGCCGCCTCGCCCGCGCCGGCCCCGTTCGTGCGCGTAGCCCCCGCGCTCTTCCTCGGGAGCGCGCGCGCCGCGGGCGCGACGGAGCTGCTGGCGCGCGCGGGCGTCACCCTGTGCGTCAACGTCTCCCGCCAGCAGCCCGGCCCGCGCGCGCCCGGCGTGGCCGAGCTGCGCGTGCCCGTGTTCGACGACCCGGCCGAGGACCTGCTGGCGCACCTGGAGCCCACCTGCGCCGCCATGGAGGCCGCGGTGCGCGCCGGCGGCGCCTGCCTCGTCTTCTGCAAGAACGGCCGCAGCCGCTCGGCCGCCGTCTGCACCGCCTACCTCATGCGGCACCGCGGCCTCAGCCTGGCGCGCGCCTTCGAGGTGGGCGGGCCTCCCAGGTGGGGCGGGCTTTCCAGTGGGGACGGCCCTCCCAGGTGTGCGGGCCTCCCAGGGGGGTCGAGCCTCCCAGGTGGGCGGGCCTCCCAGGTGGGCGGGCCACCCGCGCGGGGCGGGCTTTGGGGCTGGGAGCGGCGCTTCCGGGTTGGGCGGGGCCCACTCGGGGGCGGGCCTTCAGGGCATTTGGGCGATTTTAATTCTCCTGTTTGCAGATGGTGAAGAGGGCTCGCTCTGTAGCTCAGCCCAATGAGGGTTTCTGGTCTCAGCTCCAGAAGTACGAGGAGGCCCTCCAGGCTCAGTCCTGCCTGCCCAGGGAGCCCTCGGGGACAGCTCTTCCCAGCAGCAGCAGAGCCACCCAGCCTTAGGGGTGGTCCCTGAATCCTCAAGCAGGGCAAGTCTCAGGCCTGCAGCCCCGGGAGGGGAGGGGTGGCAAGGGGTGCTTGGGCCCTGATAGGAGGTTGCGGGCCTCCCGTCTTTCCTGTCACACTGAGTTTGCGTTTCCCCCCATTTAGCCTCGTCTCCCTGAAACGCAGCCCAAGAGGGCCTCTGTCCCCCTTGGTGGTGCAGGGGTGTGCAGACGGAGGAGGGGACTGGGAGGGCCCAAGCCCCGGAGACATACCGCCCCTCCCTCCCTGCCTTCCTCCACCTCGCTTTATTAGACAGGCTTTGGTCAGGAACATCTAAACCACTTGAGGAATTTTAGGCAACTGGATGCAGGGAGACGGAGGCAGGTGATTCAAGGACAGGAGGTCGGGGGTCCCAGGGGCCCACCAGCTGGACCTGAGCAGCTGCCTGTGCTCTGACCTCCCAGCTCTCGAGGACACCTGGAGCTGCCCGCACTACCTCCTGCCAAGCCACAGTACATCTCCTTCCTCCCGCCTCCCAGTTCTCTCGCTGGTCCCATCTCAGAACTGAACACAGGGTCCCGGTGGCCGCAGGGCGTGGGCCTGGGGGCTGAGACTGGCCGCTGCTGTGAGAAGCAGGGGAGCTGGAGGCTGTGCCAACAGACTGCCCGGCTCAGGCACCCTCGGGGCCTCAGCCTCTGCACCCACCTCCCACCTTGACCTCTCTGCTTCAGTGACTTTCCCGAAGCCACCGTCAAGCCAACGATGGACACGCCCTCCCCCAGCGTGGAGGACCCCACAGGCCGTCATGAGGTGCATCTCAGCATCCTGATTCCTCTTCTAGGTCAGACAGAGCCTTTGGACATCCTCCGGCCTCAAGACTATCCTTGAAAATTAATCGCCATCAACACTCCTTAAATAGACATGAGGAAAGAGAAAAGGACAATGGGTGATGTGTGTGAATCACAGGCAGCGTGGTCATGGGTTAATACATGCAAACATACATGTTTATATTCTGTACGTGGTAGCAAGTGAGCGCTGTGGTTGGTGTTCACCGTTTCCCTGTTCCACTACTCCTCCCACGTTCCCTCATCCTCAGCCAGTGCCTCGCTGGTCACGGGCTCTACCTGGCGAAGGACCTGGGCCCCGAGAGGCCTGCCGCACAGGTGCCATTGCCTCCTTTACCTGCACCGCCCAGCCCCCACACAGCACAAAGCCCCACTCACTGCCCATTCAGGGTTGGGGCAGTCGCTCCACCCAGCAAGGCAGCCCATTTGGCCTGATGCTTCAGTGGCCTGGAGAGCCCAAATTGCTAAGTGGTGTCTCAGCCTCCTGCCCACTGGGACATGGTGTGTCCCCAGGTGGAAGCATCCTCCCTGGGAACAAAGACCCCCTGACTCAAAAGAGCCCAGGGTTGGGGGAAAGGGAACCACACATTTGCGAGCAAGGCACTGGGGTCATGCGAGGGGCAGGGAGGAGGGATGCAGCCCTTGCGCTCCTCGAGTAGGCTTCTGGCTGTGACAGGAATGACACCAACCGGCCACAGGTTCAGATCACGCACCACACCTTGTGGGTCGACACCCAGCCTTGCACAATGTCACCAGTCAGCCCGGTCAGCAGTGCTAGCCCTGCAGGCCACGGCCCCTATCATACCGTGCTGCTCACGGTAGCTAACCTGACCCAGCTTCGTGGGGGGCTCACCTGGGCTGGGCTCTCTCCCCCTAAGGGCCCCTAAGCTCACTCTCATAAGGGAGCTGCTGCCGCTGCCTCCACCTGGCAGGTGAGCTGAGCAGTTTCCCAGCAAAGTCAGAGCAACGCTCTGGGTCCAGGGTTTTGCCCCTCTGATCCCGGCTCAGGGCAGGGCACAGACCTGACCTCTGACCTGGCCCTTGGGTGACAAGGGTGGGTCACAGCAGATGCTTTTTATCCCACCAGCTTCGTCTGAGAACCATCCACTGTGGCTCCCCACAGAGGCCCAGTTCCCCCTAGGAGCTCTGCCCGAGGGCCAGGACGGCCCCACCCGAACACTTCTTCCTGCGGGGCCTTTGCTGCCACACCCGGGGCCCTCTGCAGCCCTCCCGTCTCCATGCCCACCTCCTAGTAGCTGAGGCTGGGAACCCCTCCCTCCCTTGGGCACCAGCACATGTTAATGGGGGGAGTCCAGTCCCTGTGCATCCTGGGCAGGCCAGGGTATGGGGGGGCGCATCAACTGCTTCCCTGCCCCAGGTCGCCGAAAAGCTGGAGTATGAAAATACCCGCGGGAGAAACCTGGGACTCTGACAATCCAGACTTCAAAGTTCCTCTCCCCCAGTTAGGCCGGGGCGGGAGTGGGGAGAATTCGTCGAGGGCAACCCGGATGGGTATCTGTGAACAGCTGGCCTCCTCCCCTCCCCCAGGCCTCGAGCAGGCTGCAGTGGGGGCTTCCTCCTGCTGGTGGGGCAGCTGCAGGGGCGCTGGAGGCTCCTGCAGGGTTGCAGATGGCAGTAACCTGCCCTCACCGCTCACCATGCTTCCCGCACTGTAGGGTGTCTCCGAGGGCTGACTTTGATGCTGCAGAACATGTTTCCACTCCCTGAAGACGGGCTTGTGTTGACCCTTTATATACACGCGGGATGGGAGGCATTCCTCCCCCTGCGCTGGGGACGTGGAATGGATTCTCTGGCCCTGCCGGGCTGCCCACTCCCCTGCTCCTGTGTGCAGAACTGGCCACAGTGGGGCAGGTGCCCAGGGCTCTCCAGGAGAGGAGGGATGAGACCCTAACCTGCTACCCAGAGTCCACCTGGGGAGATGGCTGGAGAGACTGTCGGGGGACCCAGGGTGGCAGGACCCAAAGCTCTCTGGTAGGAAGGGCAACAAGGCCCCTGAGGTGAACTTACCCCAAGGGTGGCCAGGACAGGCTACTGTGGCGCCCCAAATGCAGACCTCACGTTTTTCCAGCTCCAGCCCCACGGCCCGGTGGGCTCTGAGGAGTCCAGTGGAACTGGGAGCGCCACCAAGGCCACCACCTAGGCAGGATGCTGGGCTGCCTGAAGGCAGCGAGGCAGGGTCCCACTCAGTCCTCTCCCCTCCTAAGTCTTGGTGCAGGACTTACCCCAACCTCTGAGTGACCATGTGAGCCACTGGTGAGTTTGGGATGGGGGCCCTAGGGGGTGACTGTGTCCCTCAGCTAAGATTAGGGCATGTGCGACCCCTGAGATCGCACGGGGAAGGTGAACCGATGCCTCAGTGCTCAGCTCCACATCCGTGAACACATGCTGGCCGCCTTGGACGTCCTTCCCCCCATCCTGGGAAGGGAGGGCACAATCACACGGGCTGCAGACGGGGACCGAATCCGGGCAGATGAGACGCTACTCAGTGCTGACGCCGCAGTCAAGCGCAGAGTCTAAGTCAGCCTCGCACTGCGCCGCACCTCGATGGAGCAGAGGGGAGAGGTGTGTGGGGTCCCTGGATATTCCTCCAGCCCCCCAAGCCCCTTCTCCCTAAGAGTCTGAATTCTGTGATGACGACAGCAAACATCACGGCTGCCCATCTTACTCCACAGCGGCCAGATTCACCGCTGCTCAGTGGGCAGCTCCTGCCAGGTGGGAAGGCCACGTGCTGGTCTGCAGCACTTCCCCGGGGGCCCAGGCCCCTGGACAGGCTCAGCCCTGGGCAGCCTTCCCCAGGCCAGCAGAGAACGCAGCCTGAAAGAGCGGGCTGCAAGCTGGGGTGGGAGCAGGCAGCCGGGTCAGCCTTAAGGCCCCAGCGCTGGGCTCCGGGACAATGGGTCCTCCGGGCCCTGCCGGCCGGCATTAAGGCAGCGCTGCCCAGCAGAACGTTCTACGATGATGCAAGCGACTCGTCTCTAACAGCCACCCCCCACCCCACGCATGGAGAGTATTTGACAGCGCAGCCTTGAGGCTCCGGGGCTCCATCACAAGCTCCGCCGACCACACAGACCGCCCTGGTTGACTCGGGGTTACTATGAGAATCCCTCCTGGGCCGAGGCCCCTGAATGGACCGATAACATCGAGGTCTCCACTCTACACTCCCCGGACGCACAGACCGCATCGAGAGGCAGCCCTGAGCCCGATGTCCCCAA